CTGCTTCTCCCTCTGACCCTGCTCTCTCTCATTCTCTCTGTCTCAAATAAATAAATAAAATCTTTAAAGAAAAAAAAAAAATCACATCACTGATTATCTCCAGTCGCTGAAGCTATCACCTTCAGGTAAGCAATTCCTCATTCAGACCAATCCACAGGAGCAATTCATTCTTTGACAAATATTTATCATGTGCCAACGACACATCAGGCCCCACTTTAGGTGTGGGGACTCAGCAGGACACAAGGGGAGGTGTCCTCTACCAGCTCCTGAACATGATGGGGGCCAACCTGCTGCCCACTCGGAAGCTCTGCAGTCTTCAGGGGGAGAATTAAAGTGTCAAAGTTGTCAAAAGGAGGTTGATCAGCAAGCACGTATTCAGTACCATCTGTGTAGCCCACACTGTATGGTAGGTTCTATACACAGCAACAGATCAAATAAATATCATTTGGTATTTGATATTTTAGATCACAGACAAGCTCTATGGATTCTTATTCGCTAGTAGATTATATTATTTGTTTGACATGGGTTCAACTTCTAAACAATAGATAAAAGATAGACACATCTATTCCAATGAAAACAAGTAGCCCTGGAGTGACTCAGTCAGTTAAGCCTCTGACTCTTGGTTTCAGCTCAGGTCATGATCTCAGGTTGTGAGGTAGAACCAACCCCATGTTAGGCTCCGTGCTTGGCATGGAGTCTGCTTGAGATTCTCTCTCCCTCTGCCCCTCCTGCTCATGCTCTCTCTCTCTGAAATAAATAAATCTTAAAAAAAAACAAGTAGCCCTTTCATATTCTGTACATCATGAGGTCACCACTGCTGACCACTCTGATGACCCTCAAAGAGTGGACAACATCCAGGAAACAACTTGTTCTAAGAAATACAAGCTCAGGTGTATAATATTAGGAAGACAAACTACTCCAGAATCATCCTACATCTTTTTGTTGTTCTTTTTGTGGTCCCATCTACTCCCCCACTCCACCCTCCTGCCTTGCCCATCAATCACACACACACACACACACACACACACACACACACACACACACCTCTACCTTCCAATATAGAAGCCTTCTCTGAGCTCCTGGATATTTAGAAAACATGAAAAGTGAGAAGGAAAAGAAAAGAAAAGGAAGAATTTTCTTCCTTAACATCAATTTCAAAATTTTCTTCTACTTTTAATAGCCAAAACAGCATTTATACATTTCAATAGGCAGTTCTTGGCTTTTTTCTCAGGTAAAATTGAATTTTAGCTTATAGACTAATTGCCTGGCAACTCTGTGAGGTCTAATTTTTTTTAAGAAGTTAATTCAACAATAAATGATTCACTCAATGGTAAATGATGAACAAAGGGAATATCAAAGGCATATTTTTCATGTTTTTTGCTCAAAGCATTACCATTAATACATTCCCTGCCACCATCACCATTTTATTTGCTTGTCAAGGAACTAAGGAATTGCCATCCCAAACGGCAATTTGGAAGCACACACATTTATAATAACCACTGGGACACAGTGAAGTAAACTCACAGAGGTAAGATCTGTAATTTGACAATATGATGAGTGATGTTTCTAGGTCTGATAATACCTATTCTCACCTGATAAGTAAAAGTTTGCGGCAAGTATCCAGTGAATCATTATATCCATCAGGGATAATTTCTTCCTCTGGAGCATCTTTATCAAACCAGCTTTTCCATCCCTTCTCATTACGAGATATCTAAAATAAATAAGCCAATTAGCAAGCCATAGGACTATATGCAATTGGAATATACTGGAGAGAATTCTGAGTAACCTTAGGGGGTCATTCTTTATAGGCAAACAGTTTTTCAAACATAACCACACAGTTGACTTTTTTTTCCTCCAGAATCAGTGACTTAAAGAACGTGGATGTTACTATTCCCTTTCAGCTTTTCCATTGTTTTTCTATATTATTCACTGAAATTAAGACTGTGTATCAATTACACCAAATGATCAGGCAGGAAAAAACACAGACCAGGCGTTTACAACCTGCCAATATGATTGGCAGTTTGGACCAGGTGATTTTGGGGGAGCAGTCCTGTGCACTGTAGGATTGTTAGCAGCATCTCTGGCCTCTACTTACTAGATGCCGGTAGCACCCGTCACCAACTCATGACAATGAAAAATGTCTCCAGACATTGTCAAATGCTCTCTTGGTTGAAAACCACTGATATAGACCATCCTGATAACCAAATCTCTAAATGTTGACCTCTACTTAAAATAGTGATAGATGACAAAAATCTAAACTTTTATTTTCTTAGCGATTCCCTGCCTTCAGACCCTAAACCTAAGAATAAAAGAAGTCTCTATTGTATATATGAACCACATCTTTATCCATTCATCTGTTGAAGGGCATCTCAGCTCCTTCCACAGTTTGGCTATTGCAGACATTGCTGCTATGAACGTTGGGGTGCATATGGCCCTTCTTTTCACTACATCTGTGTCTTTGGGGCAAATACCCAGCAGTGCAATGGAATATTACTCGGCCATCAGAAAGGATGAATACCTACCATTTGCATCAACATGGATGGATCTGGAGGGGATTATGTTAAGTGAAATAAGTCAAGCAGAGGAAGACAATTATCATATGGTTCCACTCATATGTGGAACATAAGGAATAGCATGGAGGACATTAGAAGGAAGGGAAAACTGAAGGGGGGGAAATCAGAGGGGGAGACGAACCATGAGAGACTATGGACTCTGGGAAACAAATTGAGGGTTCTAGAGGGGAGGGGGGTTCGGGGGATGGGTTAGCCCGGTGATGGGTATTAAGGAGGGCACATACTGCATGGAGCACTGGGTGTTATATGCAAACAATGAATCATGGATCACTACATCAAAAACTAACGATGTACTCTATGGTCACTAACATAACATTAAAAAAAAAGAAGAAGAAGAAGAAAAGAAGTCTCTCCAAGAGCTAGTCTCGAATACCTGTTCTCTCAGAAGCATGGAAAGAAATGCCAGTTTTCAGACGCATTAAAAGGCACTCCCTGAAGCCCCAGTCATGACAAAACTAATTACAAAAACAAAAGATTGGTTGAGTCCGATGCTGCCCCTCAGCAACAAGCTGGCTGGATTATTGAGACAGTGTTTTGTAACCATGTTTTCAAAGCCGTGGTCAGCATTAAAGGTGAAGAGCAAATGCGAATGGAGCAGGTCCTATGGGCCAGACCCGAGCATTGTACTTTTACCTGCATTATCCTCGTTTTTCACAGAGGCCCTGGGAGGTTAAATAACTGCCCCAAAGTCCACACCATGCAAACAATTCATCATAGAGGATCCAGGCTGGGTGCAAATGAAGAGCGAAACCATTGCTCTGGGACCTCAGTTACAGTTTTGTCCCCCTGGGGCACCAAGAGAAGGAGGAGCATTTCTGAAATGTTTCACAATTGTCTTCTTTCTCCTGCAGTGGCTCCCCCACACTGACCTTGACCACTCCCAAAGAATCCGCCTGCCACACTTGGAGCCCATCCCCCCACTGCTCCGTCACCTGTGCATTACCCACAGGGTCCCCTGCGGGCCTCCTCTGGCCCTGAGGCTAGACAGGATGCACAGGAAGTAAGAAGGTGTTGGTTTCCAGCTTCCTGGCCTTATATCTGCTCATTTTGACTCTACTCAATAGAGCCTCCGGGGCAAGTCGCATCTGCTAGGGGCAATGGGATCTCCTCCAGCCCCTTGCTGCTTACCTCCACTTCCCACTCCTTTTCCTGGCCCTGTTAGCAACACCACTTCCAGGGGCTGAACAGTTCAGCCTGAGATGTCAAAGCAGGCCAGCTGCTGTTGGAGGCTACTCTTGTTTCAGTTCCTGACACCCACCCTTTCAGCTGGGGACGGATCCCCTTCTCCTTCTGCCCTTTTTTCCCAGAGACGCCAAACCGATGGCCACCTGATGGCCGGTCCCAGGAACTTCTGCAACTTTCCTGAGAATGACCACTCCCCCTCACTTCTGGTCCATCCCATGGTGAGTTGGAGATAAGTAACTCCTAATGTCAGGGATAGAGCCGAAAGTCAGAGTACAGCGTAACCATTTAGTGGCTGTGCAGCCTGGGGCAAGTACTTAACCTCTTTGAATCTCCGTTTTCTTATCTATAAAGTGGGGCCAATAATACTTCCCCCTGGCATGGTTATAGTTGTTGCAAAGTACTTATCCTGTTGTTAAGCAGTAGCAGCTACCAGATTCTAGCCCGCAGGTAATTAAATTCTGATTAACAGAGGCAAATGATAATGCCTAGCCCAGTATCAATACAACCCATCAGCAGAAGGCACAAAGTGTTGAGTGATTTTCCCAGTGGCGCTCTGAGGTCTCCCTTACCAGTCTCCTGCCAGATGCAGACCACCTTATTTCTTCCCCAAGTATTTGTCTGGGCTTGGAGGACTCATACAGAACAAAGCTTACCATCCACCACAGACAGGAGCCAGGGACTCCGACGCAGCCATGGCTGAATACGTAAAGCATCTCTGTAATGGGGGCGGCTGGGTGGCTCAGTTGGTTAAGTGACTGGTTTCCACTCAGGTCATGATCCTGGAGTCCCAGGATGGAGTCCCGCATCGGGCTCCCTGCTCAGCGGGGAGTCTGCTTCTCCCTCTGACCCTCCCCCTTCTCATGCTCTCTCTCTCATTCTCTCTCTCTCAAATAAATAAATAAAATCTTCTAAAAAAAAAAAATCTCCGAAATGTTTCAGAAATGCTGCTGAACGGGCACACCTAGTGTATGCTGGGCAGGGGGGTAGGTGTGTGTGAAGGGGAGGGAATCATGTGACGACAAGGTGAGGTCTCTGCCAACTTGTAGTCGACCCATTGCCCCAGTTGTCCATCACCAGCAACTCCCAAAAAGCTGATTTTCGGCATCTGACGCTGGGAAACCGCAGGCCTGCATCGGTGACAGGCGGCTATCACCAACACACCTCAGAAATGAACAATTATCTTTATGCTGAGTTGCACATTGTTGTCCAGTGAGAACTGAATCAACAACTAATCCCCAATAACACATTTACATTTTCAAATAAGAAAAGCAACGGGTGAATCAGGACCTGTTTCACCATTATCCTTCACCCTTTTAGATTTTCACCAGGAAAATGACTGCTTTTTTGAAAGGACCCCAGCCTCTTAATTTGCCTCAAATTCAAATCTGCACAATTTATTTAATCAGAAGCAGCAGTAAAAATGTAAAAACATAGTCTACAATAAAATAGTCTACAATAAAAGGGTCCACCCACCGGTTCTGATTCTGACAGCTTGAGTTAAGCAGGCTTATAAATGACCCACGTGTACCACACAGAAGGAAAAGGCAGTCACCTGCACCTATGACAAGGCTCCTTCTGATACTCTTCATCCAAAATTGCCCACAGAGAGCTTAGTGCCCTAAAGCGACACTATTGCATTGAGCCTTTTGGGTGAAGGAATTGTCACCAGGAGGCCCCAATTAAAATGGCCCAGGTATGTTTGGGTTTACAGATCTGGACTTTTTTCTCCAGCCCTCGTTACCTGGTTCAGAATTTCTGCAAACTGTGGAAGTTTACTCAGCTCTACAAGATTCAGCCAGGTCATATCCAGGATCCAGCGAAATGGCTTAGGAGGGCAGGCTTTCAGATCCAGAGCTGCTCCCCCTGGGGAAAGGCATTGGTGGGAATCAGGTCAGCCTGTGCCTCATTTTTAGACATTTATTTTCCAAATAACAGAAGCGAGGTAACCATATTACAGAGAAAATGGGAAAATTGGAAAATAATCATGACAGAAAATGTGGCTATCTTTTTTAGGTCCATTTCCTTCAAGTCTTAGTGTTTTATTTTCTGATTTATACCATCTTATAAAATACAGATAGCAGCTCCTTGTCATTTCTCCCTGCACAGAATTTTTCTCAGGTGGTTGCAGTTGTTTGCATTTTTACCGTTTTTTTTTTTTAAACAATCAATTTCATGAAACTTACAATTTTGATATCAATGAATAGCTTGACCTTTTCATGTGTGATTTTAAAAATCATGTCTTAGCCCTTACTCCTCCAGAAATTTGATACTCAATACTCTTTTTCACCAGGTCAAAAAGATGGATAGATGGAGGGTGGGAGAGATACAATACTCTGTGGGTTTTTAAGGGAGTAACTCGTGTTCAGATCATTTATTCACTTATTTATTCAACAAATATTTATTGAGCACCCTCTGCATTATCAGCATATTCCAGGCACTGGGGATAAAGCAGAGAAAACCACACAAGGCCTCTGCTCTTACGGACTGTAGAGGAGAGCGTGAATTACAGCGTTGGATCACATTTTGAAGCAAATCACAAATCAAATGAGCATACCCAATGGGACAATCTTCCACCGAGACACATAATTATATGCACAGCTTCAAAATTCCTCTACTGCATGTCTTCAGTAACGTTTTATCAGCTGTTGTTTAATTCAGATGTGTGCAAAACAGTGATTCTGCACTTCTAAATCCTATAATCCTCCTGAAGAACTCATCAAATGCCACCACTTCACATATCAACCCTTGGGCAAAAGAGGGGGCGGAGCGGACTGCAGCAGGGGTTGCTCTCCCTCTGGCACCTTCCTGAGAAGGTGAATGAGCTGAAGTATTCTTGTAAATCCCCTAGCGCCACCTCTGGGTCCTCCGCTCTGAGCGCCACCACACCTTTAGAACAGGTAAAACTTCCTCTTGACACCCCGCCCTTTGCTACCTTGGCAGGGAAGAGAAAGCCATCCTCTCGCACCGTTTCTGCCAGTACCGAGTTTACTGAAGGAGAAGCCACCGCTGGAGAGTATCATCTGTAGACTCAAGGGACGCTGCTTCTCTAACTTAGAGACAAATGCATTTTCTTCTGGGTTCTTTCCAAAAGAAATGTTTTCATGTGACTGTAAGTCTCAAAGACATCAGGAGAAGACATTAAAGCCACGAGTGTTTTGAAAGATCCTGGTGCCCCTCCACGAACCCAGAACAATCACGGCCCACTCTCCTCCCCACGATATTCTCACTCTGCCACTTGCTAGCTGCCTAAACACAGACAAAGAACTTAATTTTTCTCCACTTCCTCTTCTGTCAAATGGGTGTAATAACAGACTCTACCAGATTAGTTGTGAAGATTCAATAAATTCATGTATGTAGGAAGCTCAGAACAGTCTTGGCCCATAGTGAGAGCTACGTAATCATTAGCTGTTATTTTGACATGAATTCTCTGTTTTGGAAGGCTCAGGTCCAATCCAATCTGGAAGGCAAGAGCAGACCCCCTAATGTGTCTTTTTGTCCATGGTTGATGACAAAAGAAAGATGATATCTTTCTAAAATAACCAGGCAGGGAAAATAGTTCTATCAATTACTCTATAACACAGGATTGTCCCTGGTATCTATTTCATTTTTCAAAGTGTTCTGACATTCTCAGTTGAAGAAGAAAGTCAAAGGCACCTTCCAAATACTGCAGAAAACAAGTAGGAATTGACACAAAGGGACAGTCATTCCTAGGAGATCAAATATTTCTGCTATGATAAATAAGTCTTTCTTCTTTCCCTCTTAAGTACTGAGTTAAAAATGATAAAAAAAAAATATCAAAGATCTACGGGCTGTATTTGTTAACTTTGTAAAAAAACACTGAAAACAAAATCATAAATCATTTTTTATAAAAATAATCTGGTTAAAAAGTAAGCCAGTTCAGAACAAATACAAACCATACAATAAACCAATTTTATTTTGGTTTTTGTTTTTCAAAAAAAAAAACAAAACAAAACCTCTTTCACTGCTGAGCTGATTGTACTTCTGTTGACAACCTATCATACAATCCCAAATTAATCTTTTTAAAGCACTGCTCTGTTCATGCTACTTCCCTGCTCATAAAACATTCGATGGCTTCCTATCACCAACTGAATTAAATCCAAACTCTTCTCACCAGCTCTCCTGTGCAATCCGACTCTCCCTGACACTCCAGCTTTATGAAGTGGGGTTACAGACGTGCCCCTCACCACAACCCAGGTGCACAGCCTTTGTGCTTTTTCTGTGACCACTCCCATCCTCCTCACAAATTCCCTCCTCACTATGTTTCTCGGTCTCCTCTGATTTACATCCCTTCTCTCAAAGAATCCAGTCTCCTTCAGGTAAGGGCTCCATCCTTCAGGTGGGCGAGGGGACAGGCGAGTGGGATGGCATTGTGTTGTAATGGGGAGGATGCCTCAGATCCGCATGCTGCCCTCCAATCTCTGCCACAGGCTGGGATCCCTGTACTTCGTCCTCGGCACTGTGACAAATCCTGTCTGACCTACAGGGGTGTTGGGCTGCTGTCCACAGAGACTGGTCCTTTGTGTCCAGGAATAAAGTTCCCCGGGGCCTGCAGCTTCTTGGTTTGAACCCAGCCCTCTGCTGCGCACCAGCCCTCTCAACATGTCCACGCCCACACTCCTGCTTGCCAAACGTCAGCCTTAGCCCTCTAGCTGCTCCCCTCCATCAATGCTGCCAGGGGCTGCATGTGGGATCTGGTGCCAGGCAGAATGCAGGAGCACCTCCCATCTGGATGCTTCTTGAGCATCTTTCTGTACCCACCCAAGGTTCAGCCTCACGAGACTGGGAAGAGACAAGGATCTTCGTACATGACCTCCGTCTACCTCCGATTCTCTTGTCCTTCCCATGACCTGTTGTGGCCCATAGTGCCAGGTTTCCTCCTTCTTTCTAAATCATAGCTGTCTCCTTCTCAGGGGCCATGTTGGCAGATGGGACTCAGGAAGCAAAGCTGGCTCATGGATCAGGAAAAATCCAAAGTATACCTCCCATCCCACTTGTATGCCACAGTTAGGAGGCCTTCCTACATCTGAGGCCCATTTTGCTCCTGCTTCTGCCTAGATTCCCACAGGCTTCGGTGTCCCTCCTCCCCATGGCCCAGTGCCCCAGACACTGAGGATGTGGCCCCAAGTCTAAGTGAGGGCTTTAAGGTGACTGTAAGGAGTCAAAGGAGCTTTCCAGTTTGGTAAAATTGGGCTCACTTTATTTAAATGTCACAGAGGCCGAAACCTGTATGCTCAGACCCTCTGCACAGCCTGCCCGCCTCTCCCTGGTGGTACTTATCACTTCCCCTCTGGGCCCCGCAGCCCCTTGTACATGGAGGGAGCGGGTGATGGTCTCTGAGCTCACACAGCTGGTCAGTGGCAGAGCCTGGCCCCTGTCCCTGCTCCTTAGTCCAGCCCACAGTTTACTGTACCATGCTGCCTTATGCTACACTTTAAGACATCAACTTCTCCAGGTGCATTGGACCTGAGAAAACCTATCAACTTTATGACATGCTCCAGTTTCCTTTGAACTACAAGACATGAAAAATCAAGAAATTTTAGCCATTCTGCAAAATTGTTTGCAAAGTTTCTATAGCAGTCATCTAACCTGAAGCCAAGGAAGAAATTCACTAAAGTAGAGAAAGAAGATGATAGAGTAATAAGTTAGTTTACTGCCTGTTTATTATAAATAGGATGTCGTGGAGAAAAGTGTATTGAGTATCGTGTTCTATCCCCCTGTCGTATGAATTTAGAAATACTCTACGTTTTCTTCCTACATGATCTCTTTCATTCCCATGGCTTTGGTGGTTATTTCTATGCCCTCTCTTTGCAGCTGTCTTGACTTCTTCTAAACTGTCTGGTCTACCCTTTCTAACTGTCTGCTGGATATCTCAAATTCAACATGTGTATATGGTCACCAGAGCTGTTCAGAAACATTCGATTTCCCCCTCTTCCATGCACATGGGAGAAGCACATGTCCCTGCTCTCTCTGAAGTTAGTGGTGGCTGTGTGTCTTGCTTTGCCTAATGAAAGATGAGCATTTAAGTGACATGCGTCACTTGCGGGTAACTTTTAAAAGCTGGCACATGATTTGTCTTATCCCATTCCTCTGCCGTAGTAATTTTAGAAGCAATTCCTGGGTGACCATGACCATAACCAGGCATGTTGGAGAGAGAATAAATGAGAATATACCCCTATTGTTTCAAGCCATTGAAAGTTTGGGATTGTTTTTATGGCCAAGAAACCTGGCCTATTCTGACTGAAACTAGGTCCCCAAATCACATTCACTATCCCCCTCACCCTGACAATTCTCAAACTCGTTCCACTTTCAACCAACTAGACCAGAAATCTTCAACTCATTTCTGACCCTTTTCTTGGCCCTTGTATCTGGTCTGTTGCCATTTTACTTCCATGACTTCTTCTTTATATTCCCATTGTCTTTACCCAAGGTTGACCTTTTACCTGTGGCTGGGAAGATTATAATAAACTCCCTTGAACCTCTTTGCTATAATTCTATGCATGTCTGCCAGAGTCATCTTCCTAAAAGATGGTAAGAGGTTCCTGAGGGACCACATCACCACCTTACACAATTCCTTGTCCCTCACCAGACCAAGAAAATCCTTCCTCGAGGAATCAAGACTCACAACCGACATGCCCCCTTCATTCATTCCTTTTCTGGTACTGTTCTGTTTCAGCCTGGAATGTCGCCTTCACTTCTACCCATCCTTCAGGGTCCTTTTAAAATGCCACTTTCTTCTTTTGGGGGAGAGGGCAGCCAGAATATGATTTATTAAACTTTACACAAGGAGCAAAAAACATAAGAGATACATTAAAATATTTTTCCCATGGATCAAATCATCTGAAAAATTCATGGCTTAACCTGCAACAGTGTATTTTCCAAAGAGCTCTTACTGGACTCACCAACCACAAGTCTCTCCTTCCTTTTAGACATTAAGACTTTGTTTTTAGCTCTCTCCTAACATTTAGAGTATTCTGCCTTGTTTTACAATAATTTTTAAAATCATCTCTATTTCCATTGTGAGACTGTTTTCTTTGAAAGCAATGTCTGGTTGATCCTTCTACACCAACATTAGTATGGTGGGTTTGCAGAGTATATGCTCAATAAATACTTATTTAACTGAATTGAATGAAAATACCACTCTTTTATCTCCTTAATGATACTTTTAACATGGAGATGAGCATTGAATAGGATTAACTTCCAATATGAAATACAAGTGTGCCTTTTTCTGTCTTAAAAGTCATGATACTCCCTTGCTCAAGGAATTGATTGCTCTCTTGCGATAGAAAGCTCATCACCCACCTCATTTTTCTTCCCTTCGGCATTCGGGTTTCCTAACCACAGGCAACAATGACCAAACTTCAGGTAATGATATAACTAAGGAAAACATGGAGTGAACACAGGCCTGAAATAAATCATCTTGAGTAACCAGAGCAAAACGAATGGGAATCAGAAAAGAAACACAAGGTCCAAAGAAATTCCCTTTCACGAGAACATGATTTCCCCCATTGTATCATAAAAATGGGTCTCCAGCATGTCGAAGAGCATATCAGAAGCAATCTCCTTTACATACCACATCCATATCCCAAACGCTTCACCTTTAATGAGAGCCTGAAACTCTCTGTGCTTCACTGTTCCTCTCTGAAGATCAATCTTCAAGGTCATGAGGAGTACAAAGAGGAATTTGTGGTTTTCATACAGGCCTCTGACAGAGTATGTAAAAACTTCGTATGTCAGATACTCAATAATATTTGTAATTCTCTTTTGAGGTAGCGGAGACTTCTCAGATCTGCAATACATTTTAAAAATTAAGGAATTCAACAGCCATTGCTAAGACAGTAGGAATACAAACAAAAATTTTAAGTGACTCTGCATGGGGCAGGGGAGGGACTCCCCACCTGGCCATGGACTGGTCAAATAACTTTAAGAACTGGGCGAGTGAGGTCTGGTACATGATGTTGACCATACTCATCTCTGTGATGAGAAAGTAGAGGATGCTTCCACGGGTGGCCGCAGGCCGGAACTCCTCCTGAGCTGTGTTAATTTTGATCTCCGTCTCTGCGGCCACATGCAGCTTTTCACTTACTTCAGCTGCTGTCTGCTTGGTGATTCGGAGAACACCGATGAGAGATTCGTCATCTACCAAGGAACCTAAAAGCCAAACAGGAAAACCGTAGAAGACAAGAAGGGGAAGCCGAAAAGAAAGAGGCAGCCCTTCTGAAATTGACCTGTTCATTTTCACGTTTATTTCTTCAAAGCCTGCAGGATGAAGGTCGGGTATTAACACACTGAGAGGCTTCTGGCCCAACTGTCATCTGATGCCTGAATCCTTCCAAACATTCCTGCAGACAGGTTATCCCCGATGCTGCCTGTAAATCTGCAAAAGGGGATTCCCAAGGCAGCCCACATGACTGGTCTTCAAATATCTGAAGACAAAATCTGGCTCCCTCCACCCCCCAGTGGTTTACCACTGCAAACTGCAATTCACCTCTCAGGAACCAGACCTTGATTCAGCATACTCTAGGCTGGATCAGGGGAAGAGCCCTCAGCGATCTTTGCTAATATTAAGATGCCCAGGTATATCCAAATGGCTGGGAGAAGTCACTGGACCAGAGGACAAACAACTTCACAAACACAGGCAGTGGAATCAAGGCAGATAAAAGGACTTTTCCCTGAGGTCACGATCAAGGCAGTGCGGGTGAATGGTGTGAGAATAACATATCATGTACTTCTGGGAGGTTAAGGTTTTTGTTTATCCAAGGAGTAAAGTGCTGTTGGGAAGCATTCATTATGAGGCTGTAATAAATGGTAGGATTTAGGCTACTGTAATTTGCCTACTGCAGAAAAATACAGTGTTTGTTGACTTTAGTGTCTTTGGATAGGATGTTTCTTATTTATTTAGAGAGACTACATCCCCAAATCAGGGTGTGGCATGAGGATCTGACTGCCCTAAGGAGAACCCACCCCTGACTTCTAAGTAGGAAGTCAAGGCAAGTGGAGAGTGAGTTTGGGCCTTGGGTGCTCAAGGGCCTCTGACACAGATTACACATATCATCACCCATTGTGGTCATTGCATTTCAATGCCAAATGAAAGAGTTGATCTTAAAAAAAAAAAAAAAATTAGATTGAGCACATTAGTTTCCTCTGGGCAAGCAAATTAGCCTACTACGAGTTACCTAGCTCTATTGGGAGCCCTTATTTTTCTTAGGAGAGAGCAATTATATCTAGAAAACTGTGTTCTTCTCAAATGCTCAGACTCTGTTTGCTAATTCAAAAATCAGATTCTCTGCAGTCCTTCTTTAAACATCTAGATGGAAATTGCCTGGCTTGTGTTTGCACTGATAACTCAACTGTTTCCTAACACCTATAATCATGAGGTGCTGAAAAGAGGGCCCAAGAAATCCTTACTCAGGACCCGTCGTTCGGTTACTTGTTAACAACACAGTACCTTTTGTGGCGCTTAACTTGTAGAGAAGGTTGTCTTCAAGCTCCTTCATCTTGCGCTTGTTGGAAGTCACATCCTCCAAAAGTTTAACTCTCTCAGACTCTAATTCCTGTCATTAAGAAACAAGAAATAGAGGCACCTGGGTGGCTCAGTCGTTGGGCGTCTGCCTTCGGCTCAGGTCATGATCCCAGGGTCCTGGGATCGAGCCCCACATCGGGCTCCTTGCTTGGCGGGAAGCCTGCTTCTCCCTCTCCCACTCCCCCTGCTTGTGTTCCCTCTCTCGCTGTGTCTCTCTATGTCAAATAAATAAATAAAATCTTAAAAAGAAAAAAGAAAAGAAAAGAAATTATGCCCGCTAGTATTGTTTCCACAGTGCTTACACTGGCATGCATGAGATTCCCCTGCTAAAGGAATTTTGTCTGATTATCCCCCACGCTCTCTTCCTGGCTCTAAGTTTATTTAAATTAGAGTGTCCCATTCTCTTGGCTCTGTTCCCACACTGCCTCTGTGTGAAATGCTAACTTTATTGGCAATCAGAAGTGGGAGAAGCAGAGACATAATATCAAAACACCAAGAGGCCACCCAAATCAAATGTGAGCTCTTGGTCTGGGATCTGCCTGTAGGAACACCAGGTATCTGGTCTGACAGAGCCAGCTGCCAGTACAAATCCATTTTCCATTGATTTACATCTCCTTCTACCAGAGGGGCTAAACTGGATGTTTGGAAGGCATATTTTTTCCTACAAAAATAATGTCTTTTTCAAATTATATTCTGAAAAAAATTTTAAACTTTCAGAAAAGTTGCAAGACTGATACAATTAACTCTCATAAATGCTTTCTTTGCCCAGATTCACCAGATACCATTTTGCTTTATCACTCTCTCTCTCTATATATATATATAATATTTATTATCATTATTGTTCTTCTTATTATTGGTGAACCATTTGCTGAGGTCATGATCCTTTACCCCTAAAAACTTTAGCAAATCTCCTAAGAACCAGGACATTCTCTTACAGAAGCATGGTGTAATTTTCAAAATCAAGGAAATTTAACAGGGATATAAGAATACTCTTGCTACATGTAAATTGAAGTTGTTTCAATAGCATTTTTATAGCATTTTTTCCTGGTCTTCTACAGAATCACACACTATACTTAGAATTATGTTAAAAGGAGGTGTTTGGAAACTACCTATCTGAGAACGTTTCTTGAAAAACCACTTCGGAAATTCCACCGCTTTCTGCAAGTCTTAAACCAGTTTGTGGGGCTCTGAAGCCACAGCATGGTGTTCATCTCTACACCTGCCACAGCTTGCATCAGAATCTGTGTGTCAATCATGTCCCTCCAACAAGATTCTGTGCAGCTAGAGGGCAGGCACCTGTCCCATTCACTTTTGCATTCTTGACAGCACTTACCTTGAGGTATTGCAGGGAAAGGACTCAACCCAAGAAATATGTGTTAAATTGAAGTGTGCCAAACTGAGTTCAACAGCTTTATTTTACATCTGGGGAAACTGAGGACCCAGAAATATTAACTTTGAATCCCATCCCAACATGATCCCTATGGCTAGCTACTGGCAAAGACAGGCTCATACTCTTGTTCTCCAACTCCAAGACCAGTGGCATGATTGACAGTGTCCTAGGTTTGCTGGGTTTGATGGGGGTAGCAATGAAGGTCATGGCTGCATTTGTGGGGGAGTACCTCATGAACTGTTTCCATTAAGGTGGTCACCTCTGGATGGTAGTATAGGAATATGGGGACAAAATGAAATCACATGAGCTTCCTTTTCAGTTTGATCTGGCAAAACAAGCATCATGGTACAGTGGACCCTTGTGGGTTCTACAGCATGATCTGTAAGGCTTATCTAGGAGGCCTGACAGGGTGAAAAGTCCGAGTGCTTTTAGAGCGCTTTTGTCACCTATTCTCTCTGGTCTCTGTCTGTTCTTCTGTAAAATGAGGGTGTAAGAGCAGGATAGTAAAGAGGGTTAAACATCATGGTCAGGATGTCCTCCTACAGATTAAATGTGTGTTTTGGCTTTTTCCAATAAGGTTGGCATAAGCACTTTAGCACATCCCTCGAAGAGGAAGCTGAGGCCTAGAAGAGTGGGGGTGGGCCCTCTGGGGACACGGGGTGTCGCCTGCCTTAGACAGTGGGGTGGCCTGCCTTAGGGAAGTTGGTGCAGCCTGCACGCAGCACCTGGACCAGTGAGGAATCAGATCAGACCAACAGCACCAGTGAGACTACCAAGGAAGGACTAATTTTCAACAGTTGGCACCATGTGGCTCCAAGAGGTGATGAGCAATGAACTGAAGGGCCCATGCTCTCTCTGCCTGGCTGTGGAAGTGGCATGGTTCCCTTACTGGACTGTGGAAGCCCCGGGCTGTTTGTTGGAAGCAAAGATCAAACAGCTCGTGAGAGCGGATGCTGGGACTGCGCCCCCTTGGCTCAGCTCTGGCAGACTGGCTGCCTTTAAGGGCCGGCCCCTTAACCATCCCGGCTAACCAGGTAGGGCTTTGCCTCTCCTTTTACTGAGTTCTCTCTGTTTCTCTGGTGTGAGGATCATTTCTCTTTCCCTCTTCCAATGTCTTTCCTGTGTTCATGACATCTACTCCTATCTCTTGTCTTTCTCTTTTCCTTGTCCGGTCTTCTATTGCCAATCTTTCCCTCCACCCTCCCACGTGAAGCCTCTCTGGTCTTATTATTGCTAACCTTGCCCTTTCCTTGAACCTTCAGTACTCTTATTCTAGGTAAGCAAATATAATCTTTCTCCGATTTTACGCAAATATGTTTTCCATATGCAAATAAGTATAATTACATTTTATGCATATTTTATGCATAATGTTAAATGTTTTCTGAGATTTATTTTAAAAACTGGTTTCAACTTGTATCAGTCTCTTAAAATCTTCCAGTTTTAAGTTCTTTATTAGAACCTTCAATCATACTTAATTTCTCTGCCTTAATGCAAATTTCATTCAATTAAAATTAAAGTTAGGCTCTCTGTATCATTAGAGTACTAGACTGCAGTAGTTGAAACTACCCCAGTGATAACACACTCATTCAGAGCAATTTCTTTTTCTCCAGGATCATTATTTTAGTGACTTTTTCAGGTACATCAAAGAGCATCCATCCATAGGACTATAGATACGAAGGTCAACATACTCCAAGGTTTAAAGACAGAAGTAGAAAAAACAGTGTGAGTGGTGTGCGTGTGTGTGTGAGTGTGTGTGTGTGTGTATGTGTGTGTACCCACGTGCACACATTTGGGGTTGGAGGACAGCTGAGTTAGTTACATGATTTCTTGATAGGATTTGACAGGAGACAGCTAAACTAATATTTATGTTAACAAAGGTAAATAAAAATTTGCTTAGTTTTTTCTTTCCGAAATACTTAACAATTTCATAATAATTTATTAGAAGTAGTCCTTTACCTTGAGAAATTATTACCTGTTTCTCAGTTAAAATCACTCTCCTTAATAACTGATTCTCGAGTCCTTTCATAGTCACGGTAAAATCAATGACCGACGTTTTAGCATTGATCTCAGGGGTAAAGGCAGGGTTGGGTAACTTCGTAGTAATATAAAGTTTAAATGTATCCATGATATCACATTCTTTATCACCGACTTTCACCTACATCAATTCAAATATAAAATTAAAAACAGCTTAAGGGGCAGGACAAGGAATTTGGGGTTAACTTAGGAAAGAATTTATCAGAGGTCAGCACTGTGAAACTTGAATGAATTGCAAAGGAAAAAGTTCTAAGACTTTAATCACTGGTCTTAAATAATTCAGATTTGTGGTCCTGCCAGAAGACATTGTTAGCCATGACACCAAACAAATTAAATGAACAAAAATTAAATCAAAAATCTATCCCCAACAAATGTAGAATAAAGGAAAACTCAGACACATCTCAGATTTGACTGTTTTCTCCCACTTGAGGAAATTGTTTCCTACTGAGGAAATCTGTGGTGTTTAGAGGAAGTATTTGTTATTTCTCTTTGCATTTCAGTCATATCTGAAGCATAGTTGACAACATAAAGGATTAATGAAATTTTCAAAGAAAAGAGTGCCGACATTTTCTTCAGAAACATAACATTTATCTTAAATACTACAATTTGCAGTTTATTATATTAAAAAACAACCAGTTTTGCTATCTAAAATTTAGGTGGAAATTATATGATTTTAAAGGACTTAAATTTTTAATGAATCTTGATTCTGCATGTGGTTGGAAACCACATCGATAAGGCACCACCACGTTCTCAAGCACCAAGCCTTCACACTGCAGATAAGAATATGTTCTTTTGAAAGACCTTCAGGAATAAAAATCCTACACCCTCCCTTGGCATGTTAAATACTGCGCATAAAAGATTCACATTATGAAGAAATGTTTTCTAAATAAATCTTTGTTCAATGAGAACATTTGCATTCTGTACTTATTCACTGATATTCATGAAATTAATTTGTCCAAAGTGAAAAATCTCAATCAGAAATGCTGTCATTCAGGGGCGCCTGGGTGGCTCAGTTGGTTAAGCGACTG